TATATATATATATATATATATATATATATATATATATATATATATATATATATATATATATATATATATATATATATATATATATATATATATATATATATATATGAGCAATATCACACAAGTAGCACTGGTAGGAGGCGTGCATTAGCTCAAGGCTGCAGGCCGTGGCCTTTAGTGTCCCACTAGTCCTGATATACAGCCATATCGCACTGCTACGAGTGTGGTATTGCATTTATACAACAGTTCGACAGCACAATCGAGTGTATAAAAAAGAAAATCGAACCGGGAGAGTCTCAAAAACCCTTTTGTAAGAGGGACTACTTTCTTTTGCTATTCACACACATCTGCAGCTGATGGTCAGAACAGCAGAAATCTTTGCTACTTCACACACGTCACTTAAGAGCTAGAATTGGAATGATTCTCTAGCCTAATGTCTAAAGTGATGACAAAACAGGTAATTTTGCTGACATTTTACGCTTACAAGGCTGAACAGCATGAAATGCCATCAGTCGACAGAGATTTCCCAGTATTTCTGTTGCAATCAGGAGATCACAGTAATTAACCTTGTAAAAGCCAAAGCAAACACTAGCAGATTACTATGGTATAAATACAGCACTACAACATGCACAAGAGAGAAATGGACTTAGAATGTCACTTACCTGTTTATTCAGCTGTAGTTTGAAACGTACGCTTAAGAAAAATGCTGGTGTTCTCCCCTAAGGACTTATTATGCGGTCTCTGTTGCCATCTTGTGGTGGAACGTCATCCGTCTTTGCTCTGCTAAGTATGGCAGGCTGATGGCTGCCGACCTGCTGAATCATTATGAATCTTTAAATTAGGCGCTATCCCTATCGTAATAAATACACAGCAAAGTTGCAATCTAAACAACTACATTCCATTCTCAACTAAAAAAAAGCCTCAGGAGTACATTATGTTGTCCAACAGCTGCAATATTTGTCAAACTGTAGTGTCCTCGTCTTGCCTCTTGTGTGGGTGGAGTAATACACAAGGGTGAAGAAGAGGCTGATATTACTTTATTATCTCCCATTCATCAGCCAATCAGATTCGAGAACCAGACAGAACTGTTGTATAAATATATCTAATACATATTTTTGCATTACATATGTGTGGAAATTGTCATGAAAGTAATGCCTTAAAACAGTATCACAGTTAATTTCCTTCCTACAAAACTCACTTTCTTGTGATTCCTGTGGTGAAAATGATGCGTGTTTTCATGAGATTCGCCCAGATGAAGTGACTTTGGTCATTAGAGCGTCAGTGCCTCGTTCTGTTGACGTACTGAAGTGCTTTAATACGTTTCATGCAAAGCTGCTGAAGTCAACCGAGTGACCCTCATCGTCCTCCATACTTCCCACAATCCTCCTCCACGACAGCAAAACCAATGCTGAGAAGGAAGAATAATGTCAATGCTGCATCAGAGTTTTCATGCATTTAAACCAAACCGAGACTCTTCTACTTCCCTCACAGACTTCCAATGATTTTCTTCAGCTGCATTCGAGGCCGAGGCCTCAAAACTCCCAGCACTTTTTTGGCAGAACTTTGACGTTGTGTTTAGTTGTGAACGAGAGGATTTGGGTGTGTTTACATGAGCGCGTGTGTTTGTGGCGAGATGCGCAGGTGCTTCAGTCGCTCTCGACCGCCTCAGTGGACTCATCTCCGCCATTTTGGCTCCTCGCTGCACTCTGCGGTTTCCTGACACTGAGGATGATTGCGATTCTTTAAGTGAGATTTTTCAGACATTTTAGCGTGTGTGTGTGTGTTTGCGTGTGTGTTTCTTAATCCGCACACCAGATGTCACTGTAAGCTGGATGCGACTGGACGCCATTTCTCTATGGAGCTATATTAGTGTCAATAATAATTCAATGAGAAGCACGATGTACACATGCAAGGCCAAATTCACATGCATGAAACCAAATTCACGTGCACAAAAAAAAGTGATATATTTTCACAAAAACAATTCACCTGCACAAAATAAAAATACATATTCATGAAATATATTTGACAAATGCAAAACACATTTTGCAAATGTATAACAGTGTACATATTTTTTTATTTGCAAGTTTGTGACTGCGAATGTGCAAATCGTCTTCATAAGTTAAAGTATAACAACGTACAAAAACGTTTTCCGTTAAAAACAACATAGGCTCATTCTGAAAACCTGCCCCTGCATACATTTCTGGAGATCGCGAATTAGCCAGAGGTACGTTTGTGATGACTTTCTTTTTCACGCTAGCAGCTGACTGCTTACCTTTGTATGGACGGGTTTCCCGCTGTTACCAGTTTGTCCAGTGGCTCGCCATGTACGTTGTCGGACTTGAGACGCAGAGAGGAATTGACTACGATGACAACGTTCGAGTCCAGAAATCGGTTAAGACAAAAACAAAAGCCAAAAAATAACAAAAACAAGTAAATAATGTGTTAAAATCTGAAATCGTGGTAAAAATCAGCCGAGGGCTTTCTTTTTCTTAATTGCTTTTGAAAACACTAGTGGTTGGGATTAGGAAAGGCAGTGGGTGGGGAGATCGGTCAATTGCCTCTGGTGGATTCGCGAAAACAAAAACGGCAAAAAAAAACGTAGCTCCTGGGACATATTTGGCCCTCTCCAGAAAGTTATAAAAGATTATAAATTACGTCAAGATTGCGCAAAAGATGTATATAACAAATTAGTACATCGATTACAGCGCTCTTCGCGGATTACGACTGGTTGAACAGTGAGCTCACATTTGATTAGCTGAAAGCAGTGATCCCCAAACTTTTTTACTGTGGACCGGTCAACATTTAACGATTTTTCACAAACCTGTGG